TTGCTGTTTTACTTAGAGATGACTCCGAGCAGTAGTAATGATTATGCTTTACCAGCAAAATCTTTTTCTATTAAAAAAAAACTCTGATGCCAGCTTCAATCCATCAAATAACGTATTCATGAGTGGACACAAAGAAGTGTACGCTAAATATCTCTAGAAATGATGTGACGTAAATCATCTTATGGCAGATTCTCATGATAACACATTAAAAGGGTTGATAAGTGTGTAGAGAATGAAGTATGGCTCATTTACCGACTCATTCCCCCAGCGGTTGTACTCAAATACTAACACTATGGTAACATAATGCGTATATTAGCAACGTCTCAAAGAATTTACACAGGTGCATCTGACAACAATGGTCCTACCTTCTGGTGAGGACACACCAGTTCCAAAACAGATGGTTATTCGCAATACCACAAAACAAGACATTGTGCTCAAAGTAAAAGTTTTTCTTCGTGGTCAGGAAGAATAAGCGGAATTTTCATTCTTTTAGATCAAATCCGATGCACCACGAGCACTGCAGTTCGAGGCTGAGAAGATTGTAGTCGACTCTAGAAAATACGTAATAGTTAACATGGTATTCAACGAAAAAGAGCTCACCGCTTCTTCCAAAGTACGTCTGAGAAGCTTTATTTTAGTAAAAATAATGACAATGCATATCCTGATGAACTCTTGGCAAACTAGGGCCGCTGGAACTTCCGCTGGGAAGAAAGAGGATTATTGACATGATTAGCTGGCAAACCCGGCTGATCATGTTAACAATTCCAGTTCCCTAAAGCGTTGAAAGCAGAATTAAATAAAAAAGTGGATAAATATTCCTCTAATGGTCATCAAATTTAGCGCATCTTAGCCACAAACTTTCAGCAGCAGAAAAAAGCAGATATTAGTAATCTAATGAAGCTAATAGATACTTAGAAGAATAATTATTCTATCTTACCCACACATACTCTTCCTAGACAAAGCGCCGCGAAGCGGCACTTTGGCTAGGGTGCCTTTTGGAGGATAATTATATACATGCACACTCTTCCTAAACGAGCCGCGAAGCGGCGCTTTGGCTAGGTGAAACATAAGTTAAACAGAGCTCAGCACAGATCTGCCCGTTTTTATAGCTGAAAATCGCTTCACTGACATGCACCATCTAGCCCGGGAGTCACACCGTAGTCTCCGCTACTAGCCCGCATTAACCCCTTCCACCTTTGTTGACGTCCGCCCCGGTTGGGGCTTTACGGTTAGCGCTTGGCCAATCGAAGTATCTGAGCTGGTGAACATTGACACAGAATTTCCCAAATTTTTTCTCTTCCAAGTTTAGCGCTGTATCGTAATGAAGATTTAGGCAGAAAATCTGCAATTTTTGACTGTGCTAGAATAGCGAACTGATTGCTTCAATGTCGGATCTTCCTATATACTTTTTCACTTTACTATGAATTGTCGTCTAGTCTGCTGAGATTCCAAGGACACATAGACCGAGACAGCGTAACAATCTCGCCTCTGAAATAGTGCATAAGCCGTGTAATTCTTTTTCGGTACTTCAATTTTTGAATATGATAACCAGAGGCTTCGCGCTTACGATTCTATAAGGAGAAATTTTTTTGGTGAATTGTCATTGAAGAGTTTGTAAAGCGGATTGCGAAAGCACCGAAACTGCTTATTATGCACTCGGCTTACATTTGACCAATACTCTTGGCATAATTCCGAGCCCGTCTGTTCGTTTAGAATTTGACTGCAGTTTCCAATCTTTTAGAAGAAAACAGTTTGTAGCATTGCTCTCGATTTAATCATAGATTAAAAATCTTGGCTTTAGGGGACAGCATCAATGATTTACGTCTTTGCACGGCCAGTAACAAAATACAATCAAGAATGCCTTCGACGATGGCTAACAGTGGACAACTGCGAGACAACGGCTCAACTGGCATTTTCCATACAACTGCAGCTAACGAACGCTGAGTTCTCAGCGACTAAATTGATTCTGGATCTTCCTGGTTCTGCTTCACTTATAGACCCAATTCCCAATGCCATAGAAGCTCCGCTTGACACTGACTGCGTAACCAGTATTAACATCGATGCTGGTAAGCCTGGTTCTGACATTTTCAATTCCTCTTTCTGTAATATATAGTCTCTGATTATTTTAGACACAAACACTGGCAATGTGTTCGATGACAAAGATTACAGAAGCGCCCTTAGAGTTGAGGAAGGAAGCAAATCAAGGTTCGTATGTAGTTAGAAATATAAGAAGCAAGAAAGTAATGAATTGGCGTTCAAATGTCGCAAAGTCACTTATTAATTGTCTCAAATAAGTAAATTTGTAAACCACAACAAACATAAGGAAATAATATCTAAATGTAGTTTTTGACTAAATAAGATTAACTCATATTCTCTTGGTAACCCCGAGAACTCTATCAAATTCAGGTGTGCCGTACTAGCTCCTCTAATGGACATGTTGTTCCCGCCAGCAACACAAGCAACACGTGCATAATCTTCCCAAATTTATGCATGAATAAACATTAATCAAATTTGGGTACAATTAGCCAAAAGAGCTCTTGTTCAATATTGTGTGAAAAAATCTAAAGATTTTTGTAAGAATCACAAAAAAATTACAAAAAGAAAGAGCATTTTATAATTATAAGAATCAGGAAAATCGATAGATGTAATATTTGCCTTCAGCTAATTATGGAATAAATGAGGTCTATCTGCTAATCATAGGAATCCATTTCTGCTATTTTAGTGCCTAGATGCATAATTGTATTCATAATCCTGCATTACGTCATACATGCGATTTGTAGCTTCAATAAAGGCGTTCTTAACAAGATTCTACTTTTGAAGGAGAAGGTGCGCATGCTCACAAAGTTGCTCTTCTTTCTTGAAAAAAATCTGTTCTGAAGTTTCTAATCACGAGCTATTCACTCTTGATTATTTTGTGGCCATTCTCCAAAAGAAACACAAAAAGACAATCTCCTCTTGTTGCGAAGTGTAGAGGAATATTAAACGTGCTGGCTCCAAATCTTGCAGAGATAGAGAACCTTATTGGTATGCGGAAAACCCTTTAATATGCTGAGGTCCAGGCGTTTGCCACGTAATAATGGCCAGGAAAAGTTCAGATCAGACAAAGCGCTGGAATTCCAAACTCCGCCTTTTGATCGGCAGCTTCTCGAGTCCAAATATTTGAGCTGCAGTCCGTACCTGTTTGAGTGTTTTTTTTTGAACTTTCAATGATCAAATGTTTAAAATAGAATATGCCTTTATGAATGAAGTCTTTGATTCATACTCCTCATTTTTGAAAGCGTGTTTTTTCCCTTAAATGATGCATATCAATTAGATAATATTTCGGAACTGCTCTAGAAATTCCTTGGTGCTAGACTAGGTAGAAATAGCCGAAAATAGTTTACAACTCTTCAAATACTAATATTGCCGACAAAAATATTGATATCACATGTTCATCATGTTGTATTTATGTATCAAGCACATAAACACATTTACACCAGCTTAATGAATTTCTTTTTCCAATGATCTTGAACCAATGACTAATTTGCACAAAATTGTGTTAAATGTTTAAATGATTATGTATATGCGACTGTTGGCTGATTTGACTACATCTCTTTGATTATGGGAAAATAAAATTGGATATCCTTCTTTGCAATAAACCCTATTTAGGTCAAGTGCACTTTAACGCTCTAATCGCCTCAAATGCACAATGGAGCTATTCCCAGTTTCATTCATTAAAATGCTTAGAAAGAGCTTAACTCTCATCTAGAAGTTGGAATGCGAGATGCAGATGGTTATAGTTTTTAATATTATTTAATCATTCATTTAAGTGCACGATCTCTCATTATGTTGCAGAAGCGAGAGTTCATTGTTACAACGCTCAGGGAATCATCGATGTAATTCTTGCTGGATGCTAAGATTTGAGGTTAGAGAATGCAAAAATAGTTTACCTAATTGGCGGACATTTCTTGATTGTTACGAGGTAGTGCTGAGAGGAAGTAAAGTGACTTACTCCCTTACCACATTGAACTGCAATTACCAAATAGCGCTAGTTGAACTCTTTCCTCTAACTTAGCTTACACAGACTGCAAGCCATAATGAATTTAATCTTTGAAAATTTAGTCTAAGGTACCCAATGCTATGGTTCACTTGGGGAGCTTCCGCACAACTTGTTTGCAATCAAGCGTGTTATCAAGTGTAGTCGTTATCAGTATCAGTTACAGGCGCTTATTTCTTACAAACCGCCGCCGACGAAACACGCCGGAACCCTTCTTGTACACGAGAATCTAATCTAATCTCCAACTATACCAATTACTGATGTGAGTTAGGAGACACTAAGTCATGATAAGGCGCCTTATTTGTCTGCAATTGTTTTTTATGTGTAACGAAAATAGTGCAGAATGATTTTATAAGGAAGTAGTATTGAATTCGATGACTATCGTACAAGCTATCATGTCCCAAGCATTTTGTAGAACAGATTTGCTCTTTACTTCGCAAATCAGCGGTTTGATGGAAGTTTGGACCGTAGATGCTCATCAGTCCAAACTCGGAATT